CCCTGATGTTGCAACATTACGCTTAATGTATAGATTCTAACATGCTTATTTCATTGGATATAAAATGTTTTCAATTAAAAGTACTCATGACTCTCAAACAACGACCCCTATCGCCTAATCTTCTAACTTCTACAGGAAGGAACCTGGCTCTGGATTGATGGGACTCCATTTGACTTTGCCAAGTGGAACCCCGGAGAACCGAATAACCATGGAAAAGAAGACTGTGTAGAGATTAACCATGGAGGTAATATCCAATGCAAAACCAAATGAGCCTAAAATGTTTCTTGTAGGATTTCTGTATAAAAAGGTACCGTTTATATTGGATCTTCAACGGGCTTTCTGTTTATTTTGATTTTCTATAAGGGTATTAAAAACCTATAACCACACCTTTTTTATAGAATAGTAAATGGTTGAAGGTTCACTCCTTTTTGTGTAAGGTGTTTGTGTGTTCTCCTTGGACTGTACAGATTAGTTCTGGGTATGAAATAGGGCTGGGTGATGTGCAATATTAATATCGACATCGCATGTTATGTACATGCAAGGATTGCAATAGTTAGCCGACTTAAGATAAGACATCTAATTTTTCATACCATCGACAAAGGGGGCAGGGGGGTGCTGCCCCCCAATATCTGCAGACCCTCCCAAAGCAAACAAACAAAAAAATCTATGCCATGTACAGCTTGCACCATGTCTTCCATAATGTCACATGAAAGGATATTTATTTTGGGCTGAACATATTAGAAAAATATCATATTGTGTTATTTTTGGGTTTAGTGATGGCCAAATCATTTTACCATATGTTCTCACAATGTCATAAAACCTCACGTTGTGATAAAAATTTGCAAATTCATTTAAAAAATGACAAAGGTCTTATACTATAAGGTGCAGATGCCCGTATGTGTGTGTGTGTAATACGTGTATGTGTGCCTGTGTGTGTCCATGCCCACTCTGTCATGGGCCCTGTGCTACCTAGGACAGAGGCTCTAGGTCCCTGTCAAGCCTAACCAGGATAAGCAGTTAGAGGACATATTTCACTGTTTTCGTGTTCTTTTAAATGTACTGATACATCAATGTTATGTTAACCATTAATGTACTGATACATTGATCAGTATTAACCATTAATTGCTCTTTGTTTTTTTCTTTTTATATAGCTGAAAAGGGATGGAACGACCTGAAATGTACAACATTGTTGCCTTCTATCTGTGCCAAACGACTGGTCTAGTTTCCACACTGTCTGGAAAGTGCATGCAAGATCGTTGTTTTTTTTCCTTATTGTCTTAGCAATGAGTGGCAGTTTCTCACAAAAGATTCTTTGCACATTCTTTACACTGTATGCCTGTGTAAATCTTTTGCTAAAATAAATGCTTTTGCTATAGCATCAAATTATCTGAAGTAATTGTGTTTTTGCTAAAAACCCCAGGGGGTTTAAGTTGTTTACAGCAATTAGGTCACCTAGTACCTAGAGCAGGGATTCTAGGCCTTTACAGCCACAGAGCTTGGCTATTCTGTATTATATTACCTGGATATGAATACATATGGGTTTGGGACCAGTCCGCTGTCACCACCACAGATGCTGTGCCTGTTAACCCAGTAACTCAAAAACATGCGATTGATCCTCTTCAGGTTTTGCAGAGGCATTGCACAGGTGATTAACTGGAATTTTCTTTTCATTTAGAGAGAGATCATCCCAAAAGTGAAGCAATACCATTTAATGACAGCAAAGGGAAGGGTGAAAGCAGACAGCATTTAACGTGGTGAATGTGATTATTCAAAACATATTTGATGGATCTTATTACTGCAGCATGAAAAACATTATATGTATGATGGTCTATGTCTAATTTAATTTTCAGACTAATTGCTCCAAAAATGAAGCAGCAGTGCTGTGGCAGCAAGGAAGGAAACAGCAGCTGTAAGACACTTAGTAAATTTAAAAGAATTTTATGGATCTTTGTCTAACTTTGCAGCAACATTAATGGGATGACAAGCTGTAAGTGATAACATTTTGAGACAGATTGCACCAAAACTGAAGAACTGCATAGTTATAGCAAAAACAAGGGTAGTTTCAGACTTTTGATTCTTGTAGCACAATACCTCAAAATGTATTTGACAAATCTTTTTCAACCTTTACCAACATGTTGTAAGGGTGAATATCTGGACCTCAGACAAATCACACCAAAACTGAAGCAGCGCTGCACAGTGATAACAAAGAGGATGCAGACTCAGACACTTGATCTTGTCAGCATGATAACTGAAAAAAGTTTCGATCTTTTCCAAGCTACAGCCACATTGTATAGATGAAGATCTGGACCTGTACGAATTTTGAGACAAATCACAACAAACTTGATGCAGCAGTACTGAGTGACAGCAAAAAAAATCATGAGATAAGAGGCTTCTCCTTGTGAAAAGGATAATTTATTTTTACTGTATTAACTGTATTTGATCTGATGGAAGATGTCCTGCTTTTGCTGAGTTCGATGTTTCCTAGGTCAACAAGGAAGGGGCTTGCATTTCACTTTTTTAACCAATCGGGCTTCATTGTATGACATCACCGCATAAACTGAAAGCAGTGTTCTCTCTTAAATCACGTGCATTGTAGAGGAATGAGGTAATGCTTCTTTTCACCTCATCTTTTGTAACCTCTTTCATTTTTGAATTTTGCCGCACAGCACCTGAAAAAAAAGGTGATCAGAAATAATCTAATTAAATTTGTGCATTCCATTTGGCAGTAATTGATATTTTATCTGTTTATCTAAAAAA